GCGTGCGGATGACCAAGTCCAGGCCCACGTCATGTCACGTTTGGCCCATATGTCGGTGGGTGCTGCGGGGGGGGGGGAGCCCAGCGAGGGCACCCCGCTCGCGTCTGAGAATGCGGGAAAAAATCGCTCGTCTGAAACAAGGCCAGACGAACATTGTGGCGCAGCTTGCCGAGATCGCTGGGTTGCTGAAGAACTTCCGGCCGGGGTCGGGGCAGGATGGGAGTCGTGGGCCCGGGGGGTCGGGAGGCCTCGGTCTGGTGCCGGTGCCGTCGCCGTGGGGCGGGGGCGCGGGCGGGGGGGCGAGTGCGCCCGCGAGGTCCAACGCCAAAGAGGAGGCGAGGAGGGAGGCCACCATTTGGCAGGCCAAATATAATCAGACACTCTGGGTACTTCGGGGGCAGCGGGGGCCGGAGCCCGGGCCACAGAAGGAGGACCTGCAGGGTTTGATGGGCGATATCGTTCACGTCACGGGCGACGTCCTCGCTCAGATGCGTGCGTTTTCGTCTTTCGGCGTCAAGAGCTTCCGGCCCGTAGGGGTTGCCCGCACGTCGTCTATTGCAGACAACTTCGACGTTCTGTGTGAGGCGGTGATGCAGCTGTTGAAGTTTGGTCTAGATTCGTCCACGACCGCGGGTGTGCAATCGTTGCGGCGGTTGGAACCCATAGCCACAGCCATGGCGGACGCGCGCTGCAGGTTTCGGACTACTCTCGTGCGGAATAGTGATGTGTTTCCGGACGAGTACCACCAGCCGGCGGCACTGCCAAGGTTGCCGAACGAGGACTTCAAATTGTGGACAACGGCGATCATCTCCTGGATGTACGTCTTCAAGATGCATTATCCGCCTGATGCGTTCGACGGCCAAACCTTGCCGCCGGTGCCCGAGTTCCCCATCATNTTTCGGACTACTCTCGTGCGGAATAGTGATGTGTTTCCGGACGAGTACCACCAGCCGGCGGCACTGCCAAGGTTGCCGAACGAGGACTTCAAATTGTGGACAACGGCGATCATCTCCTGGATGTACGTCTTCAAGATGCATTATCCGCCTGATGCGTTCGACGGCCAAACCTTGCCGCCGGTGCCCGAGTTCCCCATCATCAACTTCTGTGAACGGGGGGTGAATCTATTCCGGCTGGTCCTGAGTGACGGAGGATCCCTCCCCGGAACAGGAGAGTCGCGGGGCGGGAGCGGCAAGCGCAAGGCGGGCCAACTGGATCGGGGTGATTCATCGTCATGGAAGCGCGTCTCAAGGGAGTGCTTCCAGTTCCGCAACTCTGGCACGTGCTCTTTCGGCGACAAATGCAGGTTTGAGCACGTCAAGCGCCGAGATTCGTCAAATACAGGAAGTGGCTGTGGTGGGGGCGGGAGTCGCGGTGGCGGGGGGCGCTCGTCGGCTGGTGGTCATCCCCTTCGGATTGGGGGCGCTACGTACTTGGCAGCGGGGGGAGCGTCGCCAGAAGTTCTGAGACGAGAGGGGAGATGGACTGCGGAATCGGGGTATCGGCCGTACGTCAGGAACCATGGAAAAGATGCAGAGTGGGTTTCTAGTACCTAGGCGAAGGAGGGTGATACAGAGAGGCAACCGGGACAGGGTACAAAGTGGGGTGACGTAGTCCCCGAGGCTGGTGAGGGCGAGCCGTAAAAGGAGGGGGTGGAGTGTATGCGATCAGGGTTTATTGGTCGGTACAAAGAGCGGGAACAACGGTAGGGGGGAAGCAAGAGTACAGATCAGTATGGTAAACCAGTCCGCGGTTAGGTAGGGGGCAGACATGACTGTGAGAGTATGGCTGATGGTGCGGTGACTGGTTTATACTGATGGTGTTGTGGACGGGGATAGGTTGAGATCCCCGAGTTCCGCTCTTCTCTCCCCCGCCTGTTCAAGCGTGGGGGGGTACGACCAACTAATGCAATAATTTCGAAAGTAACGAACAAGGCGAAAAATAGGCGTACGGAGTCCCCGGCAACACGTCTGCATATCCAAGTACCACAGTCCTTGTGCACTTTTGATTACATCAATTTCTGTCAGTGATGTTGCACGTTGACACTTGTCAAACCTACAACAACGGCAACCCCCACCTTGGTTTGAGGTGCTTTGATAGGTTGGCGTGCAGTGGATACACACGGTCTTTGTGGGTTCAAGAATTAGACGACAAATGACCCACGCTACACACTCACGATGGAGTGCGGCAACTACCGGGGCATCTCGCTCGTCGCACACGCCGGCAAGGTGCTGCTTAAGGTCGTCGCTACACGACTGAGCCACTACTGCGAGCGAGAGGGCATCCTCCCGGAGGA